GCCCCTCCAGGCCCCGCCCCTCGCTCTCTTCCCCGTCGGATCCCCGCTTCCGGTTTCCCGCTTCCTACCATAGAGATGCGGGCCAGAGAGGCCCAGGCTGGCGCCGGAGCCCGGGCTGACCTTGGAGGATGCTCGCGTGCGGGCGGGACTGCGCCCCACTCCCAGGTCTCCGCGTTTCCCGTACGTCGTCCCGTCTGTGCATCCGTCCCACGTGCTTGCAGTTGGCCACGGGGGACGTGCTAGTGTTGTTAGGTTCCCTCTCTTTTGTTCGCAGTCTTAGGTGCCATGGCTGAGGGCAGCTGGCCGACAGCTAGAAACCCAACCCAACCCCAACCCCTCCATCTTCAGGGAACTGGCCTCCACGTTAACCTTTTAAAGGCCTTTATGTTCCTTGTACACTTTTTTTTTTCTTTTGGATGCTATGAGTTTATATCACAGAATTTAAGTAATTCAGGGTTTTTGTCTTTAGGAATTAAAGTTCTACTGTACAAGTAATATGTGTATAAGTTATAGGAAAGGCAAACATTTATTCAACAACATGACTACCTGTCTCGTGCTAGGGTTGCTCATGGCAGTCAATGAAGTCTCTGTGACATTCTGGTGAAGGATAGCAGTATATACAACCTAATATATATGACTGTAGGTGTTCAGGGTGTGCCACTTCAAAATAAACTGCTTCGGCATATTATTTTGAGCTGTAGGCACTAGCAAAACCACAAAGGCATGGACAAGCTTTCTCTATCACCGCCCGCCCCCCCTTTACCTGCCTAAAGTCATATCTTCCAAAAGGAACTCAATTGTCATAAATCCCCAGTCCAGGAGTTTTGACAGTTGAGGTGGACACCACATCCAGACAAACTTTGTCACAAATTATCATGTCTCCTATCAATTCTTCTAAGGGCTCACTAATCTTTCCTAAAAATCATTTACTCGCCCCTAAGAGGCCTGCATTGCATCCCCATCTCCCCCTTTCTTATTAAGATGGTATTTGAGCCTGAATTCTAAGCAACCTCAAGGAATTACTAATTTTCCCCTAGGTCTCTCCCAGGTACACATGACCTATACATGTTAATAAATCTCTTTTCTTTTTCTCTTGTTAATCTGTCTTTTATTACAGGGGACTCAGCCAAGAACTCTGAAGGGTAGAGGGAAACAAGTTACAGAGGCAAAAGAAGAGTCCTTGGAGCTTAGGAGACTTTGGAAAGCAAAGCTACAGCCATGAGGGAAGAAAGGAGGAAGATGCAGGTGTGCTTGAGAGAGACAACAGCAGCAGAGGGAAGGTGGTGGAAAAGGCAGGGGCATAGGAGAGACTGGGGGCGGGGAGAGGAGGCAGAGAGAGGGAGAGGGAGCTGGGTCCTTTATCCTAAGGGCTTTTATCTGTTTACCAAAGGCAGGGATTTTAGGGGAGGTATCAGGAGAGGATCCAATAGAATGTTCATAGGCTTTCCAGGTGTGTCCTTTCAGGCTCATGGTCTCTACTAATTGGTCGGCACTAGTCATTGCAGTTGGCACGGATGTCAGCCATGGCATTGTTTCAACTGGTTTTGCTGCTTTTCTGGGCCAGGAGCTGAAACACAACTGAGGCCTAGATGTTATCTCTGGTATGATGAAACTCTGTCTCTGTGGTCAACAGACTCGAGTCTTTGTTGCTAAGATTATTTGATGTGGGTCAGAACCTCATTGTCCTTAGGGCTTCATGCTTAAGGGAGTGGTTGTTCAAGGGCTTGTATGGGAGTTGGATAAGGCTATTTTCCGGCCCCCTTGTTCCTTCTCTAAGGGGGTCCACCACATGAGTAGTCACGTGCCAGGGGAGGAAAGGTACAAACCACATGACCAGCGATATGAAAGTTGGGGGTGGGGGGGAGTGTCTAAAATACATAACTGGTGATATGCTAGGGAAAGAAAGATCACCCTGGGGGCGAGTCCCCCCTACACACTTGCATTCCCAGTTTTGTCCCTTGCATCTGGGGCTTTCCACCCTGGTGACCTTCTGTACCTTGCTGATGGCTCCTACTCTGTTCATGTCTAACTGCTTACTATGTCAAAGCAGAAATCTTCCTTCTCTTTGAATACAGAAGGGTAGCTGGGTGGTAACTTGGTCATTTCTCCACTGAGAATTAAAGTGTAAGCAGTCAGCCCCTGAACCTGATCTTGTCTATGACAGTTTTGACAAAGGAGAAGTGATGCTGGGTAGTTTCCAAGGTTGGGTCCTATGAAGTTTTGAATCTTTCACTTGGGTCTCTGAGAAGTCTTGCTCGGGAGGATGTGTGTGTGTGAAGCTAGCTGCGTGTACTAAGTCCATCTACCCTGGGACTCAATTTGTGAGTGTCCAAACCAGTCATGTCAAGAGGTTGTCTGGAGTTGCCGGATCTGCCCTCAGGTTCTGTCCATATCAGTAAAGGTACGAAATATGTGAGCATAGCCTCCAGATGACTCTAGCCTCAGACGTCATCTAACTGCAATAGAATGAGGGACCCCAATTGAGAGCAACTGAGCCCGTCTCCAAACCTGAGAGAGATAATATATCATTTAAAGCCATTAAGTTTTGGAGTGGTTTGTGATGTAGCAATAACCAGAACAACAGCATAAATGTTCTTAAACTAGTAGACTTCTAGCTGGGCTACTTCTATTTAGGAACGTTTCCATGTTATGCCCCATATATTCATCCAAATCTTTCAAGTCAGACATTTTTTTGTGATTCAACCTATCTTCGCATGTGCTTCAATATTTAATACTCAGGACACTCAATAAATGTTAAATTTAATATGGTTCCCTCCATTCTAATATATGTACATATACATATATATGAAAACATGTTTTTCCAACATTAAAATAAGCTATGTATACATTAATTTTTAAAATCTTGGTGCTAAGTTCACTTCTGAATTTCTTAGCTGATTATTTTAATGTAAATATAATCAATTTCCACACTACTACTTCCACTTTACATAATACAAAGATGCCATATTTCAATAATGTTTAGGGTAAGGTGGAAAAAAGGTGAGTTGTTTTAAGGGTCTACAAGGCAGGAAAAGGGGCACTTATTGTCTGTCTACACAGAATGCCAACAGTAATGCTTTATATTGCTAAACAAAGTAAATACTCTACCATTGGTTCTTCCTGTACTGTCTGTGATAAGATTGACCACATTAACATGATAACTCTAAGAGGGGAAAGGCCATGTCTAACTTTCACCCCTAAGAACTCTGAACAGTCACTTTATAAAAATTTACCAGCCTAAATAAAAACAAAATCTATCATTGGTACTAGAAAAATAACCTCACATAGTTTTGATTTACCCTAAATCAGTGGCATAATCTTTAAATTGATAGGACACTATATCAAGTGCCAAATGCAAGTGGGTGAAAACTATTAGACAGTTATTAAATACTAGTGGCCTGGTGCACAGATTCGTGCACATTGAAAGGAAATTAATTAGAAGAAATATTTTAATATCACTATTCACCCTTTCTCTATAATAGAAGTGTCAACCAAATTCACGACCAGCAATGACAGATCGAAACACATGCATGCGATTGATGCCAGCGAGAGCTTTATATGTATGGCGCATGCGCGAGTCAACTTAGCTTTTTATATACAGAGAATAAACTTGCTTAATTAGATGTGCTTTCTGATTTAGCTAAACTTTTTCCAGCCCACTGAAGCACCCCAACTTCTCTTTTAGGTAATTGGCAGTAACACAGCAATAAATATCAACACAAAGCAGATTATTATTGTAGATCATACAGGGAGAACAAAGGGTAAAATATTTAACTGTAGCAGTGTTTGACTATATTCTGTGCAGTGAGAAAACCTGAAGTCATTTTCAAGGTCCACCATTTCTTACTTCTTTTCAGTTGGGTCAAGTTTCTAAGCTTTCTAAATCTCCGTTTTCCGGCTAATGAAAAGAAAATAGGATTCCACTGAGTCTCCTATCTCTCTACTTCAGGACTTCTGTGAGGATCAAATGAGATGAGGCATGGGAAAATGCTTCACAGACATTTGGTTAAAGTGTGAAAATGTTTCCACCTAGCTATAAAGCAAGTCATGTTCCTGGGCTGAAGAAACTGCAAGGAGGCTAGTCGTCACTATGGAGAGGAAGCCAGGTGTTGCTACGTGACATCATTACCCGGATGGTTGGACACTTAGCATATTAGCCTTTTATATATATAGATGTGTTTATCATAGTTTAAGAGCAGAAAGAAAACTCAGCTGAATTTTTATACAAGTTTTTATTTACAACTTGTTTAACAACTGTACACTTTTTGCAGCCTTGAAAA